CGGTATTATATATTATAGCCATCTTATTTTTATTATCCCGTTAAAGTTCCCTACAACATATAATTCATTCATTAATTGTTGCTCTCTTTTCTGTGAGAAAAAAATTCGAAAACTGCTAATTATGGTCCTTAATAACTTTATATAACAATTTTAAGGTTGAATAAAGTGTATAATAAATTGCTAAAATTTTGGTTAATTTAATTTTTTTGTGTTTAATTTTTGTTTTTTTAATGCATGTTCAGCGTATGTTTTATTAATTACTGAATATTTTTTAAAATTTATTGAACATTTTTTTCTCAAATTCCTACCATATCTTATGAATTTCTAAAACCATATTGCATTAACATTGGCCAAATGATATTTTAGAAGTTGTGCTTCAAGATTATTAGGTGAAAGGACAAGGATGCCCTTATAAATTTAATGATATTACCAAAGTGCACCTTAATAATGTGGTTTGTACCGTGCCGAACTAATTTTCCGGTGAATTTTATATTCTCCGGCAAATGTAGGTTGCACTTTCACAAAAAATGCTTAGTTCAGGTTGTTATTTATCAAAATAAAAAGATTAGGTTGCATTTTTATAAAAGAGGCAAAGATCAGGTTGGTCTAAATTTTTTTCCCTAAACGATTTGTGTATAATTTTATCTTAAATGTCGTATATTTATAAAAGGCTTTTTAAAAAAATATAGCATACGTACGGAGGCATTGTCTTTCAAATACATATATATATTGGTACTCGATTATGTGGGTATGCAAATAAAATTTTATAAGTTATATATGTGCGTATATAATAGCTATAATAGTAAGTTAGATAGTGGACATATAAAATATGTAACTTGCATATAAGTCATTATATTGATCGTAATAATATAATTTGTGCAATAAACTATTTAACTTGCATATTAGTCGCTATATTAATCGCAATAATATAATTTGTGCAATATTGAGAGATTGACCATTTAATTAGACTATCAAATATTGAAATTATTATTATAACAATTGCGTGTCAAAATTATAAATGGGTTGGTTATGCCGTGAAAACATATCTTATTTCACTAAAATCGATTGATGAGTAGAAAATAAAAATATATATATAATAATGATTTTTATATGTATGTAATATAATATTCATATATTTTATGATTAGTTAGTAATAGTTATTAAGTTATAAAATAAATAAATAGAAAAATATATGCTTAATTAATGGAAAAACTAATAATTTCTTTTTTCTTTTGAAAAAATAGCTGAGAAAAAATGAGCGGCAAGAAATTATTTTTGCATTGTATTCTTTACCTTCAACTAGTGCACAACTCGTGCAAAGTACGGATGAGTTCGTACATGAAAACCTTTTTAAAGCTTCATTTTAAATATAATTATTTATATTTTTCGCATCTCAAAAAGCAATCCCAATGATTTGAAACCAAAAAATCTCATTATGGAAATAAAATAATTATCAAAATAAAAAAATCACATATTATTGAACGTTTCTCTATATACTACATTTTTTGTTTGATTTTTTTGTTTAAAATTACTGAACTTGATAATCTTTATTGAAAATTTTCAAAATATCCCGCCTATAGAAATTAATTATTCCATTTATTATATAAAGTTGACATAATTAATAATTCGATTTTGGTATAAAGTGAGCGATTTTGTTTGAGGTATATGGTGATCATTCCTATCTATTTATATATAAAAAGGTTGTTGGTTAAATTATTTTTATAAACTTTTGATCGAAAAAATAACACCTTTGACATTTTAATTATAATAAGCTTGAATAAAAACTCCAATTTAATATCACATTTTGAATTCAAAAACTTTTAGAGAACCGAAATACATAATTATAGATAATTATTGGAACCGAAATCTGTTATGAGAGGGATATTTAAACTTATTTATAGAGAAATTAATTTATTATCCAACTAATTTGCACTTATCTTATCATCCTACCAGAGTTTGAATTTATTAAAACTCATATTTCAATGGTTATCAACTATTATCCCATGCCTTTAAAATGAACGCCCGATCGTCCATCACGTATCACAAAAATCTCACTCTCATTTGGACGTACAATCAGACAAGCAGAAAAATGGCAAAAGCATGGAGAAACATCAAGCAAGTAACAAGGACCAACAGACCAATGCGTTAAGAGTGATTCGGGTTTTTCAAAGGACTACTGAATACTCATCCTACAAGAACATCCTTGAAATTGTCTTTCATGACATTGCGGTA